AAACAAATATAGATATTTAGGAGTAACTTGTCATGGTAATTTAATTTGGACTTAAAGCTAAATTACATTCTTACAGATAAGTGTATCCATGGTGACATTAAACTCTCAGGTTCAGGATATAGCTCTATTGGTAGGATTAATGTATGTGTGAATGGTGTTTGGGGGACTGTCTGTAGGACTCGCTTTGATGATGCTGATGCTAGTGTAGTTTGTGCTCAATTGGGATTCTCACGTTATGGTAAATTCTGCTTTATATGCATGTGTTTTAAGTCTAGATCTTTCCTTACTGGCAGGTGTTTTGAATTCACTGGTTGATTATTATTACTATTATTATTATGAACCTATACATTTTTATAATTTAAACTGTACTGGAACTGAATTAAGTATTTGGGAATGTCCATTTAATAATGCTGCACAGTATTGCTCTCGCTATAGAAATGCTGCACACGTGATGTGTCAGAGTAAGTTGCTGATGTTATAAGTTAGTTGTAATGTCTATTGTAGTCAGTAATGCAACTGTTGATACTTCATGTACAACTGGTGATGTTAGATTAGTTGGTGGTGTCAATGAGTATGAAGGAAGAGTTGAAATATGTTACAATCAAATGTGGGGCACTATTTGTGATGATTCTTGGGGTGCAACTGAAGCAAATCTTGTTTGCAAACAGCTTGGTTATCAGATGACAGGTTTTAATCTCTAATATCCCTGTTTCCTTTGTATTATTTCATTGTAGGATCAGTATCATTACATGGCAGTTATTATGGACAAGGGCAAGCTCCATTTGTTATGGGAGATATGTATTGTTTCAGTAGTCACAATTTGCTAATAGATTGTTATCATTACTTTGGAAGTTACATTACTCAGGATTGTGGTATAGCTAATGCAGCAAGTGTTGTATGTTTAGGTAAACCTTTTAAACGAACATGTTTTTCACCTTTAATTAATGACGACAGGATCCTGTAATGATGGTGATATAAGACTGAGTGGATCATCAGTGACATATGCTGGTCGTGTTGAAGTGTGCGTTGAGAGAACATGGACTACACTGTGTGATCAAACATGGGACTTTAATGATGCTGCAGTGACTTGTAGACAACTTGGATACTCTTCATATGGTTAATACATTTATATATTAATTTATATTAATGTCAATCTAGGTGCTATGCCAACATACAATTGCTATACTGAGGGACAACTGTCATTTGGTATTACAAATCTTGGTTGTAATGGCTCAGAAGATCATATTTTGAATTGCACACACAGCAATCCAGTTTTGTATAACTGCCTATCACATAATGATGCTGGCTTAATTTGTCAAGGTATTTGTATTATAAATATATATTTTAGATAACTGTATAATGTACTTACAGAAACTGTACAGCAATCTAATTGTACTGATGGTGAGGTGAGATTGGTTAATGGTAGTGGCCCTCATGAAGGAAGAGTTGAAATGTGTATTAATGAAGCATGGGGTACTGTCTGTTCTAATGGCTGGAGTAATACTGATGCTAATGTAGTCTGTAAACAATTAGGATATCTACCATTAGGTTTGTATAATAATATAATTATAAATCTTTGATATAACTATTCTTGTATAGGTGGATAGGTTTTGTGTAGTATTGTCATTATATTCAATATTTAATTATTATAGGTGGAAGAGCAAGATCTGGTAGTGATCATTATGGTCCAGGAGTTGGTCCAATACTGATGGCTAGTGTTGATTGTACTGGTAATGAGGAATCATTAATAGAGTGTAGGACAAGATCATGTGATGCCACTACTTGCTCTCATTATAACGATGCTGGGGTCACTTGTGAACGTAAGTAAAATATACACTTTATCCATGTATTATGTTATTCGTTCATTTATAATAGGTAACTGTACTGATGGTGAGATTAGGTTAGGTGATGATGCTGTCCTAAGGGGAAGAGTTGAAGTGTGTATTAACAACACATGGACTACAATTTGTGCTAGCTATTGGACTGACAAAGAAGCTACTGTAATTTGCTCTCAGCTAGGATACTCACGCTATGGTAAATTGAATGTTTAAAGGCCTAAACATAATGTATGCATGCATATACAGGTGTAGTGGCTACATATGGTGTATTTATTGATTATGAGTGGCCAATTGGTATAATTAAAGTAAACTGTACTGGAGATGAAGCAGACATATGGAAGTGTATGTATCATACAAATGACAGTATGGATGGACTCAATTGTTTACAAAGCACTGATGCATCAGTATTCTGCATGTGTAAGTAAAAATGATAATGTGATTTTTAAACATCTTTTCCAGCTAATTTTACACAATATGTTAATTGTACTAATGGTGATGTTAGACTTGTTGGAGGTGATGTAATGAATGAAGGCAATGTACAAATATGCTACAATAATGCATGGGGATCAGTATGTGATAACCAATGGGACTCTAGTGACAGTAATGTGGTATGCTATCAATTAGGACTACAACCTTTTAGTAAAAATACTCATGAAAACTAACATTTTATTATTAATTTTTTTAGGATCACAGTCTTTTACTAATAATTATTTCAATATCAGTGACAATCCTTCATTTGTGATTGGAGCCTTATCTTGTTCAGGATCAGAGGAATCATTGTTAGATTGTTCAAGGCACACAACTTCTGGTGCATCAATAAACTGTCAGAGTCACGAAGTTGCTGGAGTTCACTGTATTGGTTAGCAAATTATCTAATAAGACAATTATTAATAATAAGAATAGAAAAGTGTACTCATGGGTCTGTACATTTGCAAGGAACTGGCAGTCATCTTATTGGTGAAATTGAAGTGTGCAATAGAGGAGTCTGGAGTACAGTGTGTGGAGAAGAATGGGATGACAATGATGCTACCGTAATCTGCAAACAATTAGGACTCTCACCATATGGTATTGACCAGTACAATTTTAATTTATAATAAAGGAAATTCCTTATTTCAGGCGCAATTGCAGTTGCTGGTTCAGTTAGATACAGTGAATATCCCATGAGATTGTTTGGTAGTCAATGTCAAGGCAACGAGAACAGAATACTTGACTGCTCAATCAATCAGACACAAGAAAGAGTATCATATGAACAGTGTCAGCAGTACAAGGCTGGTGTCATTTGCCAAAGTAAAACCTATTACTGTTTGATCTATTTATTTTATAAATTTTAGGTTCACAAGCACCATATTCCAGTTGTACTACTGGGGATATTAGGCTGGTTGGTGGTACCACTGCATTTGAAGGAAGAGTTGAAGTATGCATTAGCAATGTTTGGGGAACTGTCTGTGATGATGGTTGGACTGTAGAAGATTCTAATGTGGCATGTAAAAAGGCAGGATATCAAGCATTTGGTACTTTATTGTCTAACTAAGTTGTTATGAATTTATTTTTGTTGTTAGGATCAATGCCAAATGATAGGTCTAGTTATGGTTCAAGTGATCTGTCTATTCTGTTGACTAGATTACAATGTACAGGGAGGGAAGACTCTTTGTTGGACTGTAATAAAAGTTTATACCATCTTCTTAACTGCCACAACTCTAGACTAGCCGGAGTTAAGTGTAAAGGTAGATCTACTTTATGATGATGCTTTTTATACTTTATAGTGGGAGTATTTGGCGGCGCTTAATATAGGCAATTCTGTAATTGCAATGTATTGGTGGTTTTTATTTGAGCCACATGTCATTGAGCATGCTCAGATTAGAGTAAAAGGGCAAATTTATTTTGGCAATTTTATCATTAATCCGCCAATTGCCAAAATAAAACTCTGCCAATTTTTCTCGATATATACCGTATAGTGGGTTTTTTTCGATGATAATAAATTTTGCGAATGACCCGTATTTAGAAGTTTGCAGAATTAATTTTTGCAAATTTCTACTAATCTGCCATCTTGCACCGTATTAAATTGATTTTCAAGGAATTTAATTTCGCGAATCATGAAAAAATCCGCAAAATTCGCGAAATTTGTTATCCTCAAAATTTCCTGCTATACGGTATTTATGGTTTAGTATTAAACTTTATTGTAAATAATAGAATTATGTACTGATGGAGATATTCGTATTGTTGGAGATACCAGTTCCTCTCCATCATATGGTAGAGTTGATTTGTGTGTTAGTCAGACATGGGGTACAATTTGTGACTCATCATGGACTGATACTGAAGCTTCAGTTGTTTGTAAACAACAAGGATTCTCTCCATATGGTATCCACTTTTGATGTATACATTATACTTTAG